TCATAAACACAAATGGCCCGAGACACCGGTCGATAATGTCCGTGAGTGGGACGAGAGGATACTTACCCCCGGAATGGCTGGCAAATCTTCCAGTCACTTCAAAAGCTGATGTTTATAGTTATGGAATGGTGTTGTTAGAAATCATAAGTGGTAGAAGGAATTTTGAAGTTTCGACCGAGACTAATCACAGAAGGCTTTCATTGTGGGCATATGAAGAGTTTGAGAAGGGCAATATCGAGTCAATTCTCGATAAAAGGCTTCTTGGACACGAGGTCGACACAGAGCAAGTCATAAGAGCTATTCGAGTTAGCTTTTCGTGCATCCAAGACCAACCATCTCTTAGACCTACTATGGGAAAAGTTGTGCAGATGCTCGAAGGGATTTCTGAGATACCTACACCACCCAAATCTACAGCCATGAACCCGACTACTGCTGGTGCTCAGTTTCAGGTTCTCCCTATGGTGTCATCATTCCAAACTGTGTTGAATTCGTCTGTTTCTTCATCTCATACAGCAGAAAATTCATCTTTAACTACAGAAAAAAAATCTGAAGGGGAAACTTCCACTCTCATAAAAGAAGAGGCTTCACAAACATGATTTTGTTGAAAAACAAAATGAAAATAAGCAGTTTTTTTCAATGCGGGATGGAAATAGCTCAGCATTATTGCGGAACAAAAGAAGTTTTGTTAGCACTCTTATTGCCAATTGGAACAAATTTCGAGCTCGAGGTAATTTTTTTGCAGCAACAGTTTTTGAATGAAATATACTGATTCAGTTCATCCACTCGACCGTCTAGTTTGTGTCCTTCTAGTTTAGAGATTTATTTGCATCTGAAAACCGGATGGAAATTCAAATACACATGCTACATATGTTACCATTTTATGTAGTACTTCGTAGAATCCTATAGGGAAATTTGTGTTTCTTTCTTGAATGCCTTAGTAGAACTATACCTGTTTTCAGAAAATTTTCCAGGGAATTTGGTAATATTATTAGACTTTGTAATCACTTATTTTCTTTGCTAAGTACTTCATGATTGCTTTGTAGAAGAATTGAAGACCATTTTCCGGGACTAGTGCCCTCATATCTTTACAGATAACAGTGAGTTGAAGAACAAGCAATCTAACTAGTTGAAACTAACGACAAAGGCTCACAAAAGCAATAGGACACGCAAACATAAACAGATAACAGTGAGTTGAAGAACAATGAAGAGATCGATATTTTTTTTCTTCTTTTTCATTCTTACACGAGGGTCTGATAATTCTTGAAATCTCAAAGTTAAACGTTTACAAACCAATATGACATACCTCTGTATGAGAAATAACTCAATGACAGAATAACCAAGTTATTTACAGCTAGTGGGTATCTATCAAGCCCGGATGGAAAATACGAGGTACTTTTAAAATTGGCATGGTCAAACCCCGTAATTTCCATTTTGAATTTTCAACAATTACATATTTTCACAATAACCTTTTGAATTGTAAAAGACAAAGATGCTCTTAAGTAAACAATACAATTACAAAAAAAATTATTTTTATTTAAAATACAATACTACCATTTTAGTTGACAAGTAAAAATCAAATACTTCCCTAATAAAATTTCAAAACCAACTAACTTTTATTATCTGTTTATTCCAATATCGTTAAAAAATCTCTCATTTTTCATCAGCTTCAATCTCAAAATCTAAAAAATTGATCAAACATCAAACAAGAAATTTTTTTACGCTTATCATTTCGAATCGGTAAGTACAGTATGTTTAATTTCGTTTTCGTTAAATTAGTATATGTTTTTAATTGATAAATCTTATTTCAACATAGATTAACATGTAGATAAAAAATTTTAATAGATCTACAATTTTTTTAAGTATAAACAAGAAAAAAATTCATCGGTCATAACAGTCGGTCGTAACAACCGGCTCTTACAGTCGTAACAACCGACTATTAAGCTGTTCTTTTTTAAACTTATACAATTTGATAGTTGGGTGGGTTGATTTTTTATCTATTTTTTTATTATTAAAAATTCTGTTTTTTTAATGGATATGGTTGTAATTCCAATTTGTTACTTTGGTGATTTCGAATTTGATGAAAAAAATCAATGTGTATGAAAATGATCAAGTGATATACGTGGTGATATTTCAATTTTCATAACATCGAGTACATCATATGTGGAAATGTATCATGATTTACAAAACAAGCTGGAAGTTGATTTTTCTCGGTACGATATGGAATTCAAATTTAAATTCAACGAGCATGTGCACGACTCTTCTTTGCGTGACTTTAGTGAGGAAGAATGTTACCGAAGGTAAACACGAAGATTCGGATGGAGGGGATCACAATGTTAATGATTTTTGGGACACAGTGGAGATAGATCGGGAGGAATATGTGGTTATTCTCGAGACAATTGTTTCTCATCGTGATTTCGTTTTTACACACAGAATTCTGTCGGTGGTTGACGACAATGAGAATGATAATGAATTTACAAATGAGGATTTGATTGATTTATCCCGTCAAATACATGAGTAGGGCTGGAGCGCAGTTGTCCCATACTCGATATATTTAGTAGCGAAACCGAAGTTGAACCGATCAATTTTATCTGATTCTGATCCAGTTCCGATAAAAAATGCTCGCGCTAAACAGAAGGTAGCAAATGGGAGAAAACAAAAGTCAGTAGCGTCCATTATTTCCACTGACAAAATAGTCCAAAGAATTTGTAGACTCCAACAGATTTTCCCTACAAAGAAATTGACCATTGCATGGCTGATTCTTAGGCCCTGTTCAGGACTTTTGGGGTACCGGTTATGGATTTTTCTTAAAGTATCAATTTTCAGTGTTTTGGATAATTTTTAGTAGCAATTTTTAAAACAGTTCAATTCATGCTTGGAGTTTATTATCCAACGATTTTAAAAATGGATAAGGGCCTAAGTTTTTCTTAAATGTCTTACATTTGACATCGGTGGAGATTGCTATAGATAGGCTTGATGTTAATGTCACTTGTATATGCAACTAAACACATTTCTATGTTTCACAACCCACATTGTAGTGTCTGTTATAAACACTACAACAAAAATAGTCATTTACAACACTAAAAAGACAACATTTGTTGCTAAATGTTGCTAAAAGGGTCTTTTGGCAACATTTTAGTAAATGAATGTTGTCATTGATATTAATAAATACATTTTGCAATGTTTTTTAGAAGAATGTTGCGACGGACCTATTTTCGCAACATTTGTTGAGTGTTGCTGAATGTTCCACCTTTCGCAACGTTTGACAAACGTTGCAAAATGTCTCACCTTTGCGAAATGTTTATTTTTGCAATGTTTGACAAACGTTGCGAAAGGTCTCATATTTCGCAATGTTTGTGAGAAACGTTCACAAACATTGCAAAATGTCTACTTTTGCAACGTTTGTAAAACGTTGCGAAAGGTTACCTAATCTTTCGCAACAATTTTTAAACGTTGCGAAAACTCTTGTATTTTATTAAATATAGGCAACCAAAATTACCTTATTATTCATGTCCCTCTCCAACCCGCCATTCACTCAGTTCATTCCACTCTAACCCGCCACCTCCACCAACAGGCAACAGCCACCACGCCCACCACCAACAACCAACCACACAACCGCCAACAGCCTCAGCTTCACCTCATCACACAATCGTGAGCAATTCGCACAAACCCTTAACTGCATCCAAAAATCGATCGCGTTCTGGACGAAATTGAGGAAGACCCATGGTTGGNATTAAAATTAAAAATATGGTCGTTATTGGTCCCACTCGTCTAATAAAAGTCAACAATAACGACTATATTTTCAATTTTAATCCGATTTTAATCCCTCCATACAAGAGCTAAATATGGGCAACCGAAATTACCCAAACCTTATTATTCATGTCCCTCTCCAACCCGCCATTCACTCAGTTCATTCCACTCCAACCCGCCACCTCCACCAACAGCCACCACGCCCACCACCAACAACCAACCACACAACCGCCAACAGCCTCAGCTTCACCTCATCTCACACAATCGTGAGCACCAATTCGCACAAACCCTTAACTGCATCCAAAAATCGATCGCGTTCTGGACGAAATTGAGGAAGACCCATGGTTGGNAATGATGATATGATTTTATCAAGAATCCATCAATGCGTTCTGGACGAAATTGATTGCGTTCTGGACGAAATTGAGGAAGACCCATGGTTGGGCTAGGTGCGCCACGTGGAGGGGAAGGCAGCCCAGGTGGTCCGCGACCACGAGTCAATCGGACGAATTCAGAATTTGGGACCTTCGCTCACTTTTCCAACTTCGGCCCTCTCGGTCTTCCTTCTATGGTGGTTTTTTGTTCTCTATAACATATTTCTCTTCTTATGACTCAATTTATGATGAAATTTTTGTAGTTAGTTTCGGATTTGGTATAATTTGGCAAATACGTTTGGTTATTGGAGCCTAGTCAACTAATATTGGAAATTGGAGAGCTGTCTATCCTTTGCTGTAAATATCTGGTGATGATTATTGAGTTATGATGCTAGTTTTCATGGTTTTCTTTCAAGTTCTTTCAACCTAGTTATTGAGGAGTTGATTGTGTTTTTCTATTGTACTGCTTCTTCCAAATTAATACAGCTGGGAGTCTGGGACTGAAAAACAGATGATTACAAGGTTTGAACTTGCAATTCTGTTTCTCAATGACATGCTTCTGAGGACTCCAGCTAAATCTTTGAACTTCTTTAGCATTCAAATTTTCCCATTTGTGGCACTCTGTGGAGCCTAATCGTAGTGTAAACATATTACGGAGTCGTTTTTCGTGTGCAAGAGAGGTGTGAGGAGAACTTATATTCTTCTCCTTGATTATGGTTGAAACCTGGAACGACACAGAGTTATCACATTGAGGGTAGGTACTCTGCCCTTTTTTCTGAGTTCTTTATTGTTTATCATTGCTCCCGGAAGTAGGGATTAAGGCTTAATCCATGACACAGTGTGATTCTTCTCGGGGAAAACTGCTTATTGGTCTTGATATGGTGGCTTTCAGTTTTAGGAATTCCAAATCTTTTTATTTCTGTCCAAATCTTATGGGGAACTATATGCTAATATACGATTTAAAGTTTATATTTATCTCGCTAAACTCGTGTTGATATTTGTTCTCTGAATAAATTGTCCATTCTTAGCAGCAAAATGTGGATGAATTAAGGCCATGGTTTCTCCCACAGTTTCAGCTTCCAAGCGAGAAAAGGATCCCAAGAAGAGGATTGTCATAACAGGAATGGGCCTTGTTTCCGTTTTCGGCAGTGACATTGACACGTTTTATAACAAACTTCCTGAAGGCGTGAGTGGAATCTCACCAATAGACCGATTCGATGCTTCAGAATTTTCTGTAAGGTTTGCAGGTCAAATTCGAAATTTCTCTTCCAAGGGCTACATTGATGGGAAAAATGATCGTCGGCTAGACGACTGCTGGAAATACTGTTTGGTTGCTGGGAAGATGGCCTTAGAAGATGCCAGCCCCAGACAAGAAGTTCTTGAATCTGTGAGCCTTTTACATGCTAAAAAATGATATTCTTTTCGATTAAAGAATCTATTGAAGGCTAAATTTAATAAATACACGTGTTTCCTCTCTAACACCTTAAGCTTACAAATGAGATGATGCAACATAGCACCAAACAATTGGTGGTAATTTTTCTTCCAGCCTTATTATTGGTGGTAATTTGTTTGTGATTCTTGCGACAATGACTGCATAATTGTTATTTTATGATTTCCTTTTACTCTATGTTCTCCTCGTCCTTGAAATTTGATGCCACTTAATATTTATCATTGTTTGCATATCTGATTTTATCGCATTTTTACAGTAGAAAAAAGGGATCTAAATGTCTTCTAGCATTATGCATGCGACTGACATGTTGTTTCTTCATTGCTTTCACTTCTACATTTAGATTTTTGTGACTTATTGTTGCACAGTTAGCTAATCAAGGAAATGTTGTCGTTTCAAATATCATAAAATATTCTGTGAAAGGTTTACCTGTAAGTTCTGGATATTGTTTTCATGTATCTGTATTGATTTACTATTTATGGCTTCATGTTGTATTGGCTTACTATTTACCTGTAAGGTAATCAGCTGAATTTCTTATTAATATTTTGATGGCATGGGATTCTGTACAAAGCTTTGTATATGCAATCAACTTTGGTCTTAAGCTTATGCATCTATAGAGAGATGGATCCAACTGCAACTTTGTAAAATTTTGCTTGCATAATTAGATCATCCTGCTTTTATTTGCCGGTTTTGAGTATTAAACCAATTAAAAGATGTGGAAAACCATTTTTAAGAAAACTTTGCGCCAGTGCATATTACAGATTATTGTTTTTATACATAAAGTTTCTGTTTAGATTAATGAATTGTGAAGTTTCAGTTTTGATTTTCCTGGAAATATGACTGATGTGGTTATTACTGATACAATTGTTTCAGACAAGTCAGCGAAGTAGGATATTCAATGATACATCAATGCCTCGCTTCCAATCATAGAACATTTCCAAAGGGTACATTCGAAGCAAGAAATTCCGGTTTGTCCTGAGAAGTTCTGTTATCACTAGAGACTCAAAACTCTCACTTCTAGTAATGATTTTTAATAATGGATGCTTCTGCAGGCTTGTTGCCAAGCATCCTATCAGTCGAAATTTAGGTGCAAGTAGCTATTTTTCGATAGAAATACCAGTTATTTGTGGGTTAACTGGCATATGTAATTAATTTTTATGCAATTTCAAAATTTATTCATAAGGTGTATTTTCAATTTTGTTAATCTATTTGCATAAATTGTTGTCAAAAAAAAAAAAAAAACACTCCCACCCTACGGCAACGTTTGGCACACGTTGATATGATCTGGGGTACGCCACAGTTTATCAAGAATTCGAGGCATGTTGGAGAGAGATTTGAGTCAAGTCCGAGACTTCAAAGAGATGATAAAAGCTATACATTTACATGTTCAAGCAAAGGAGTCCATAATATCGAATTTAACATGCCAAGGAACAAGTTTGGTGAGGGGGCGAGGTCGGAAAGCAATTGGATCAACACAAAAGTTATTCACTGGTTTTCAGTCTCATAGTGAGACCTCTTTTTGACTTGGTAAACTGTCGAATTGGAAAATTATGTCTGAAGCAAAGTTGTAGCCCTTCAAGTAATATTTCCAACGCACTTTGAATCACTTCAATCGAATATCGGTAGAAAAAGATATGATCGAAATACTGAAAGCTGAACCTAGAAACCAAAGTTTAACCCGCGGTAGTAGCGCCCCCATGCCCAACATTTGGGCATAACATATTATTTTCCGCGAATTTCCTACTTTCCTTAGAACTCGAATTTAACAATATCTTTTAGAATATTTTCGAGAT